AGCAGCCAATCAAGCAGCATTGGGCAGGAGGCAAGAAGGAGGGAAACAAGATGGCCGTCTGGGAGCTCTGCAGCCACAGGCCTCACAAGGAAGAGGCTGAATAAACAAAGCCAAAGCCCAGGAGTCAAATAAAGAGGCGAACTAAAAGATAGACAGCCCTGATGAGAAAGAGACAACCAGAAAGGAGGCAGCAGCTGAGAAAACTGGGGAGAGAGAGGCATTTTTTTCCTTCCCTCAGAACCGGTGTGAGGGAAAAGTTCTTCCTGCCATTTCCCTCAGATGGAGCCGAGAGTCAGAGGAGGAGAAGAGGCCAGAAGCCCGGCCAGGAATAGTCAAGCAGAAAAAATGAAGGAAAGAAAACAGAAACTAAAAAAAGATCAAAGATCAAAGTCCATAGAAAAAGGAGTACAGGTAGTCCATGGTTAACGACTACAATTGGGACCAGCAACTCCATCACTAAGTGATGTCATTAAGTGAGACATCACGTGACCGCGACTTGCAATTCACACTGCTTGTCAGAAGCCGGCTGTGAAATGCACAAATTGTGATCATGTGGCCACAGGACGCTGCAATGGTCGTAAACACCTGCTGGTTGTAAAGTGCCCAAATTTTGATCACGTGACCGCGGGGACACTGGGACAGTCATAAGTGTGATGACCAGTCATAAAGTTATTTTTCCAATGCCATCATAACTTTGAACAGTCGCTAAACAGGGCAGTCATTAAGCTAGGACTACCTATATAGCTTGCTCTCTAGAGATATACAGGAATTAAGGCAACAGAAATATAGAAGTCACCCGTATACAAATCTATTGGAGATTCAGAAGAGAATGATGTGAAAATAAAGCAAAATTAGACTTTAAAGAATATAGTGTTGGTAAAGAGGTTACAGAAAATAGATAGTTAAAATAGAAAATAGTTTTTTATTAAGATTTAGTTCTGCACTAGTTGAAGGCATTTATAATTTAAAATTCCATTTTTGTCTGTAAGCTTTCTTTTTGTAAAATAAAATCTTCCCCCAGCAACTGAAGGGAGATACAAAAATTCAATCGGTTGTCCAAGTGTCCAGTGCTTTGTGTCTATTGAATCTGGATTAATCTGGTTATTGGTGGTTCAAAAAAAAAAAAACGACAGTAGGAGAAAAAACCAAAGCAGAATGAATAGTAGCAACAGTGGAACCAAACTTGTGCAGATAGATTCAAGAAAGTATTGGAGATCCCATAAAATGGATAATTGGAAAGAGAAGGAGAGCAGCAAGGATCCTTGTTGGATAGGCAGAGAGAGAAAGGGATGGAGTCATGGTATCAGAAAGCCCCAGTCACAAGGATAGTCTTAATGTGCAACACTGGAAACTTGGCTGTACCAAGTAAGGCCATGGACTCAGTTTGTTGATGCTGATGGGCACCAAATCCCCAGAGTTTCAGGAAAGGGATTTCCCTAGCTCTGCCAGAAGAAACTGAGATAGAACCTGACCCCAACTCTTTGTTCCTAGCTTCCCAAGTGCAATACCTTTCAGATGTGTTGACCAGCGGCTCTCATTCAATCCAACTAATACCTCAGCTGGTCCACACTTAATCAGTGCTGAAAGTACTGGGAGTTCAAATTTTCTGAGTAAATGCCACATTCCCACCACACATGTATCTTCCAGGAGAAAAAGAAGCACAAGGCAGCAATCTTTCCAAAAGAGAATTGGTAGAAAGCAAGACAATTGCTTAATCCTTTTTGCACCAATCAGCTCTCTCCATCATCAATTCTCTCTGGAGGCTGGTGCCCTCTTGAGGATTTCCAGATCAGTTGAAAACAAGTACAGTGACAAATATTTCCTGATCTCCCTCTCTCCCCATCCCCATTAATATTCCTCCAGGCCCTGTATTAACACTGAGAGGAATGGCTGGATATTCAAAGACTTCTGTTGAAATGTTTGGTTTCACTTTTAAAAGAAAATGTTGAGATACCATTGATGCTTTTGACTGCTCCATGCTCTATTTGCAATCATTTTGTTGAACCTTAGCATCCTAAATAAAATTAAAATCCCTTCATCTTCCCAGCTCCTTCATCTTGCTGCCTCTGACTTTTGGATGTGTTAACAGTTGTCCTTCAGACTCTCAGGATGAAGCATCACTAGTACCTTAATCTCCAACTGTCAATAGTTCTGAAGCAAAGTACATTTGTTGTAAGCTCTCCAAATGTCAAAGCAAACCTGTGTTATGTGCTTATCCTTTAGTGCTTGGCATTTACTCTTCCCAGCTGAGAAAAGTAGGCAGAGTCCTTGGCTTTGAGTTACTGGGGTGCATTTTAATTATGAATAGTAGGCAAGGGGACGGAGGGGGAAATGATCAAGGAATGATACTAATCTCTAGGGTTAGGGTTAGGGTTTTATTTTTCTGTGGTCAGGGGTAAATGAAACCCAAATTGCATTAAACATACTAGCACCTTCTTTTTCATCTGCAATATGATTGGGACCCATGGGTGTTCCCCAGTGATGTCACATTCATCATTGTAGTTTATACCAGATACCTCTGTTTAGACCCTTCTATAAGATCATTGCAGTGTACCTAACATGTGATCAGCATTTATGTAATGCACACAGAAGGAATAAAGTCTTCTAATGCTTTGCACAAAAATCTTCTCTATCTTTGGTGTAATTATTTGCATGTGAAATGAGAATCTGGATTTAAATTAATTAATTCCCTCTTTCTCAAATGCTTGTCTATTCCAGGTTACCCAAATTTTGTCGCAACCTATGGCCGAGGATATCCTGGATTTGCCCCCAGTTACAGTTATCAGTTTCCAGGTATGTGAAACATCAGTGCATATAATGACAAAAGTAAATTAAGGTGACCATTCTGAACTCATCTTCCTTGGGAACAAGTGCTTTTGAATGCTGTGGTACTTTGGGGGTAGTGGTAGGTGGGAAGTCCCTACTTAGGACTTTCCTATAAAATCCATGATTAATAAGAAAACATATTTTTTTAAAAAGGGCCTTTTGTGTAATATGTCCCATGCATGTTTAGGTAAGGTACAAAAAGTTTTCTTTCCAATATCATCTTCTATTGAGGATGTAGGAGGAAAATACATGTATCTTGCTTTTTAATTCGTACTGGCTATTTGAAAACAGCATTCTTTAAAACAACAATGATAACTACTGGCTCTGTTGGAAGCATAGGCACTGTCAATATTGTATATTTCCTGCACTGAGTCCATGTGTGCTATTAGGCAACAAACTCTCCAGCACATTTACGAGAGATCAGACATCAACACGATACTTTCCCCTTATTTATTTCTCCTTCCCTTTGAGTCTGTTTTGTACAGCTGTCAAATCTACTGCATTTAGTCTCTCCATTCCCTCCAAGTTTACTACTGGTAGTCATCACTTGGAGGACTCCTGAGGTTTTGAAATGTTAGGCTAGCTGGCTTTTAAACATCCCCTCCTGACAATAATGAGCATCCTCTTCCGCTCCAGCTCTGCCATTATCAACAGGCAACCACTGAAACCAAATGCCCTAAAGGGTTCTTTATGCCAGCAACCCTTCAAGCTTAAAAGGGAGATGCCAAGAAGAGTTCAGAGGGTGGCACATGCATATATGTTTTCATCCCCCTCAAGATTTCTGGGAAGGCCGTGGTGCCAATTTCAGTTGTGTGGACTTGCTGCTTACTAGGAGCCAGTGCCTGTCTGCAAACCACAGCTAGGAAGATGTGGCACTGAGTGTTATAATTTATTAATATGTATCACCGGTGTGAGGTTAAGCCACCTTACCCTGCATTCTGTAGTTATGAACAAGAGAAATGATGGGGGAACACCTTGCTCAGGTTATTTAAGAAATCTGTGTTCAATTGTCTTCATTTTAAACAAAAATCAGTAAGCTCTTCTTTGTGGCAGGGCAGAGGATATGGAATTCTTTCCCTGTTTGAGTTAGGTAGACTCTGAAAATTGGTCTTTTTAAATGCCTTTGCAAAGCATTTTATTTAGGTCGGTGGTTAATATTAATTAAGTTCTTTAGTTTAATATAATTATTGTATGCTGTTATTTTATTATGGTGTTTGAATTATGAAACACCTAGATGTGATTGGGAATGAGAGGGAGAGAGAGAGAAAGATGAATTGAAAATAATATTCAATTCTCCCTTAAGGGAGAAATATTGGGATTCAAGGAAGTGGCATCTTAAAAATATCAAGATCAGCCTTCCCCAGCCATTGGCGATTATGGGAATTGCACTCCTACATATTTGAAGGGTGCTAGGTTAGAGAAAATTGATTTAACATTATCCGTGCCATTACATACATGATCCCAAATCCACACATGGAGAAACAAATATACCAGGTTTGTCAGGTGAATCCTTCCTGAATTCTACAAAATTGAGAAGAGTGTTTCACAGACTTCTATTTTATTCTTTTAGAGAAGGCTTTTGCCAGCTTCTGAAGAGTATTTGAGCATTAGCCAATTGACACAGAATGGTCACATTCACGTTTGCACTATCAGACAAAGGTTTTAAGTATTTTTACCCCCTTTGTTCCATTGCTCACTTAAACACCGAGGGCCCAACTAGCTGGCAACAGTCTGTGACTAGGGACCTCTCTGCTAACAACACAAACTGTGGCAGTGGGAGGGCACTTTTTATAAGAAAAAGTGGCACTGCGGGGAGGCGTTTGTCCTCTCTCACTTTTGAACATTGTGGTTTCTGGGTTGCTAGTTCTGTAAGTTGAAAGATCAGAGAGGTTGCCTAGGTTGACTCTTTCCTACCAACCAATATAGGAACAAGGGCTAACAATTCCTACAGCTTTTTCCTCACTATCCTATATTGAGTTAACACTTCTTTCAATTGCCTCTCCCACTTTGATTTAAAAGAGAAGAGGACAGCATGTTCTGTGTAGTGTGACCAGTGCTTAGAATGGGCATCATCATCTGAAGGTTAGCATCCATATATGTACATTTCTAGACATGTACAAGAAACAAGATATATCTGCACTTCTGCTTAATCATTTTGGAGACTGAGTGCATTTGGATAACTCACATTTTTAAAAAGCATGTCCAGGTCCTTCCTCAAAGGGAAGTCATGATACTTACTCCTGACCAAACTCCTGGTTTCTCCACAATATAATAGGACTACTGGGATGTATGCAATCCAAGGTCTTCCTCATTGCCATATTTCTTAAAGATTATTAAAAATGTAAATCTGACGTATGAAATATTAAGTTGAAAAATGCCTTCATAGCCTCTTCACCATCCAGTGCTAGCCTAAATTATATATTCCCTCTCCAAGACAGGGCTATCACAGCTGTACATTAACTGGAATTTTATTTGTTTATTAAAATGTTTTAGTCCACCTTGGATTGCAGAACTCAAAGTGGAGTACAGTCAATAAAACAATTCCACCCTGATGACTAGAAAGGCAGGGAGTAGGTTCTAATTAAATTAACTGGGAAAAATTTACCAATTTTGTTTTGCCTTGGAAATTGCTTTGCCAGTCATTAACCTTCCTGGACAAAGTTTGAGCTGGGCATTAGAGGCAGACCTTGTTAACTAGAACCAAACTAAACATATGCAACCCTGAATGCTTCCAAAGAGAGTCCAGTTTTTAGAAGAAAATGAGTTAAGATGCTTAATCTTTTTTTTTTTTTTTTTGCTGCAAACACCCAGATGCTTCTCTCCTGATCTCAAATGGAATCCCAGATTTGTTCTGCTGAGAATAAACATTCATTCAAACCATGCTGCAGGACAAAAATCAGACAGTGGACAAGAGCAGTTTAACTGCCTTGGACGTAGACATACTTTTCTAACATACTGAGACAAAACTCAGATCAAGATTTTCACATTTTCCTAGCCAATTGGGAGGAGGGGTTGAATGGTTGCATTCCCTCAGTCCTCACCAAGTTGGTCAAGTGAGCATATTTTCATCTCATTCTAATTCTCTGAGGACACAGGATAGATTTGAGAATGTCAGCACTGGCCAGCCGTATTTTATCTTCAGGTATATTTGAAGCACTTGTTTAAAACTGTTTAACTTTCACTGCTACATGTGTGCAAGTATGGGTAACTGTCCACCCTGCCTCACATTGGCAACTTTACATATCTAGCTAGCTACCAGGATATGGCCTACTTTGGTCAGATAAACAACATCATGATCTTAACCAACCCTTGTACATCTAAATAGAGATGCAATACAGTTGCATTACATTACAGTTTTGTTGGCTCCTTTTGATGATAAAAATGTACTCAGATCATAAGCAGCAGTGTTGTTGGAGCTATTTACTTTTTCTCTGACCAAGATTTTGATGTAACTTGAAACTGTTGCATATCTTATATTAGCAGGTGTATAAACAATATCACTAAGGTTCTCTTCTTTGATCTTCAAGATTGAAACCCTGAGCATGCACTAATAAAATAAGTACAGTTTCCATCGTGTGGTTGTGGTGGTTGTAAGCCTCAGCTGGTGGGTCAATTGCAGTGGAGCATGGACTGTGAAATTGAAGCACTTACTGAAAGGAGCTTGGCCTACAAGCCTATCAAGGACAGTTGGAGATCTGTATTTTGTGTCAATTACGTGGCTGATCCTTTGCTTGGTTTACTCATGCCCTTTGCTCCTATAAATCAGCAAAAAAAGAATCTAGCCAAACAAAATAACAGGCTAAGTTTCTGAAAAGTAAAAAAACAAAACAACAACAACAACAAAACAACTAGGGTAGGTTTTAACAGCAAACAGTGAGATTCTACCACCACCCCTTTCCTTGGGAGGTGCTGATTACAGAGAGGTTTTATCTACCGTTCACCTGTACTACCACAGATCTCTTTTTCAAGAGACCTCTCATTATCTCTTCTTCTGGGCATTGCCCTTTGGGCTCCTGACCCCTTGTGTGTTGCTGCAAACTTCTAAAAAACAATTATATAATTTTCTGTGATTTGTGGGCCACAAGTAGCAAAGAAGAAGTAAAAGAAAAGAAAAACCAGTCTGGTATAACGGTGAAGGTGCTGTTGTGGCCAAAGCCTGGTTCACCTAAAGCAACCAAATCACTTTGAAGATACAACATAAATTTATTAAGCATGCAAACAACTGACAGTGTATACTAGGCCCTAGCAAAACATTCGCAGCTTAGAGCAGCCCTGAGCAAAAGAGTTTATATACCTTTGGTCTACTACATTACTAAGAGAAGACAAAGGAAAAGGCAGACACAGTGTAAGTTACAGCATGACATTGGACTGTTTTAGATAAACCCATCTGGGTTATCTTTTTATTATTTCTCCCTTCTTACTAGAACAGCATGCTAGTTATACTATCTTTGAGATATACTAGTGAATCTAAACAATTTATTTTACTAGGCCATTGGTTCCTGGCTGATTCTTCCATCTCTTGCCACTCAGGGTCAATTCAGTTCACTGTGAATGTTTTCATACAAAGGCACGTTAAGCAGTTCACATGTATTTGCGGGGGGGGGGGGCCGACATCTCATAAGTTTGTTAGTGAATGCAGCTCACGTGTATGGGGGGGGTACCTTTTACCACCACAGCACTGGACTAGGACCAGGGAAGCCCAGGATCTAACCCCCCTTAGACATGGAAACTCACTAGATGACTTTGTGCCAGTCATTCCCTATCAGCCCAACCTAGCTCACAAGAGGGAACATTGTGCATGTCACCATGAGCTTGTGAACAAAAGATAGGATCTAAATCTGACCAACAAATAAATACAGATAATCCTTGACCTATGACCATTAGTTTAGTGACCATTTGAACTTACGACGGCACTGAAAAAAGTGACGTACAACTGGTCTTCACACTTCTGACCGTCTCAGCATCCC